CTCTTACTTCTTTCCTGCTTCACTCTCCCCAGTCCCACACCCTGCTCCTCAGACTTCCCGGATGAAGACCCCGCACATAAGTGCTTGGCTCAGTTTCTGATTTTGGTGGGAACGCAGGCTAAGACACGTGGTAGGAGTACACTGCACCACACCACACCCACTCTGACAGGACCCTCACACTCACCGTAGTAGCGTCTTGAAGTCCAGCCACCCTTCCCGGCTTTTCGCAGACACCAGTATCTTTGTTTTCAGAGCAGGGCAGTCAGGGGCCACGGTGTCCACTGCCTGGGCCACTTCGTCCCCAGCCACGATGCCCCTGGTGTTAGACACCTGCAGCCTATAGAGAATGTCTTTGGGTTTCAGCTGGATAGATCCGGGTATGAGGACGAGGCCTGGAGAAGCCAAATGGAAGGGAGGGTTGTTTCCTTCCCTAGAGAAGTGTGCTGCAAACAGCCAGTGGCAAGCGAATGTGGTAGGAGAGGCTGGGGTGGTGAAGACTGATTTGGAGTATCAGTAACCAGGGAACTGAGGACCAGAGAGTAATTTGAGTACAGATTTTCCTAAGGTTGTCAGAGCTGTAAGGGGTCTACCCATACTAAGGAGAGAAATTGAATTGCCTAATGTCACACCATTGATAGTCTACAGCCAATACAAACACCAATACAAACACACACAAACACACACACACACACACACGATGCCCTACGGGAGTCTGTTGTATCCAAACACTCTTATATAGTAATTAAAATAATTAGCAAAGGAACTTGCAACTGTCTATGCAACACCACAGTGCTCTAGGTCCTGACTATTTCTTCCAAGCCCAGGAAGCTGAATTTTCTTAGAGAAGGATGCTCTTAGCTTTTCTTTGTTTTGTTTTCTGTCTTGATGAGATTTTATGGTTTTGTTTTATTCTTCTGGAGAGTAGCTGGACTTTGTGTCACCTTTTGTGAAGCTGATCGCACATGTTCTTCTTGTTAGATTCCACCCCTGGCTTACTCTCTTCCCGCCCTCAACGTCTCAGTATCCCCACAGCAGACCTGTTACCATGGCAACCGTCTCTCCAGAGCCATGATCACGTTGAGTCAAGCACACAGAAGTGCAGATACATCTCCCACTCTGAGTTTGTTTGTTTGTTTTCCCCTTGAGACCATCATGTCTCTATGTCACCTTTCTCTCATGGCCTGTTCACTCTTCCCGTGGGGCTCCAAGTTCCTACAATTATGTTCAGCTTCCTCTGATTACTCCTATTTCTTGACCTCATTCACATCTCCCTCCTTATTGGTGAGAATGCCTGTCGTGTGTGAAGAAGGCTGGGAGTGAGGGACCCTGGGGTTTCCTGAGGCTGTTTCTTACATCTCTTCACTCGTCATCTCTTATATCTGAGGTTGATGATTCTCAAATTTCTGTCTCCATCTCAGATGTTATGCCCTTAAATCCAGCTACTCACTTCTCATCCCATCTTTTCATACATTTTAAAATTGAGACATAATGGACATATAACAGTGTCCTGGTTTTAGTTGTACAGCATAATGGTTTGCTGTACCTGTAAGCTATGAAATGAATACCACGATAAGTTAACGTCCATCAGCACACATAACTACAATTTTTTTTCCTTGTGATGAGAACTTTCAAGATCTACTCTTTTAGCAACTTTCAAATATACAACACTCTTTGTTAACTATAGTCACCATATGGTACATTACATCCCCAGGACATATTTAGCTTTTTTTTTCCTATTTTTTTTCCTTTTTTGGGGGGGGGATTAGGTTTGTTTGTTTAAATGGAGGCACTGGGGATTGAATCCAGGACCTTGTGCATGCTAGGTAGGCACTCCACCACTGTCCCCCCATTTACCTTGTAATTAGAACTTCACATCTTTTGTTGAACATCACCTGGGCACCCCTAAGTCAACAATTACCCAATTGAACTTGTCATCTTTCCCTGACACCCCGTAGCTGTGTCTCCCTGTGCTCCTCACTTCATCAAAAGACTCCTGCATCCAGCCCGTTGCCCGACTGTGTGTGGCTTCTCCATCTCCCTGACCTCCTTCCTTTACCATATGTCATTCATCAGAACATCTTGTTATCAGCTTCCTTCAAATTGTCCTTTAAACCCATCCACTTAACTCCATCTTCACTCCTCCCATCCAAATTGAAATCATCATCACCCTTTGTCTCCTGTTTGAATTTCCCACCCCCATTCTTGCCTGCCTTCATCCCATTCTCTGCATACCATCCAAAGTGACCTTTTACAAACAGAAAACAATCATGCCACTCAGTCCAGCCGTGGTTTCCCATTCCTCACTGCGTAACAATCCGGGACCCTTGCCATGCATGACCCACAAGGTTCTGCCAGTGTAGCACCTACCCATCTTTCCAGGCTCCTTTGCCACTACTTTCTCCTTGCCACCTGAACTTGAGGCACTTGGACGTCATTTCAGGTTCTCTCATAACTTTCAGTCTTCCCTCCGCTCTGTGCTGGTCCCTCTGCCTGAAGTAACCCTCTCTGCCTCTGCCCCTGGCCAAACCCCCCTCATCCTCCAGCTCTCAGCCCAAACACCACTTCCTCTGAGACTCCCATGACCCCCTCTGATTAGTCAGTTTAGGTCTCCTTTGGTAGCCAATTGGCAAACTTTTTCAACAAATAGCCAAACAAACAGTAAGTATTCTGTGGCTTTTGTGGGCCAGAGGCTCTCTGTCCCAACTCCTCAAGCCCTCAAGCCTGCTGTGATAGTACAAAAACAGTCACAGGCAATATACAAACGGGGCACGGCTGGATTCCAATAAAGCTCTGTTTACAAAGAAAGAAAAAAAGCTTTGGGCTGGATTTGGCCTACAGGTCAGAGTTTACCAATTTTTTTATAGAGTCTTAAAGAATTCTCACGCCACTTATCAAAACTATAATTAAATAATTATATGTACAATGACTAGTTTAATAGCTGTCTTTCTCCAAAGATCCGTGAGTCCCACGAGTGCATAGACTGTTCTGTTGACTCTGTGTTAGTAACGTCTAGAACAGAGCTTGGTACATAGCTCATTTAAATACACGGGAGAAGGGTGGTGTCTCTGTATGAGGAGGGACCACGTGCTACGTGGAGGGGGCATCTCTTGGGAGTATTGGTTCTATTTCTCTGCCACGAGTGGGAGACAGTGGCCCGCTCAGGTGGTCAATTACCAACCTGCTCGCATGCAGCCGAGGATCACCAGCCACCACTCAGGCACTCGGGGAAGCACCACGGCCACCCGGTCCCCACGCTGCAGGCCACATGGCCCTGAGAAGACGTTGGCTGTTTGCTGGCTAAGTTCACTCAGTTGACTAAAGTTCCACTTCACTTCATCCCCATCGCCATTCACCCACCACAGGGCTGGGCCAGGGTGTCGCTTTCCAGCCTGAAGAAACAGAAGGCCTAATGATTAGGGTGTGCTGGTACATGAGCTTGTAGACTAAATTCCACCTTGGGACTGCCACATCAATGCTTAATAAGCTTTTTGATCTCAGGAACCCTATACGCTCTTAAGAAGTATCATAATCCTAAAGACTTTTTATTTACGTGGATTCTCTCCATCAATATTTGCTATCTTAGAAATTAAATTGAGATATTTCATAAATGCGTGCTTTAAATATCCTAGTAATAAACCCATTACCTACTATCAGACATAAAATGTGTTTTAATAAAGAGGTAAGTATACTTTCCAGAACAAAAACATTATAATGAAGAGAGAGATTTGCATTATACATTTTTGCAAATCTTTTTAACACCTTCCTTAGTAGAAGATATTTGGGTTCTCCCATCTTTCTGCACTTACTTTGCTGTAGTCTCTGGAAAATGCACAGTACGCTTGTGAGAGAATGAGAGTGGAAAAGGCAAATATCTTGGATTTATTTATCTCTCTGTCTATGTATTTATTTATTTTCATTTTCTCTTTTACTGGGATAAAATATACATAACACAAAGTTTGCCATTTTGACCATTTTTTAAGTTCACTGTTTGGTGACACTAGATACATTCACGTTGCTGTGTGATCACAACCATCATCCATCTCCAGAATTTTTTCATCCATCAAAAGCGAATCTCTGCATCCATCATACAATGACTCCCTAGTCCCTCCTCCTCCCAGCGACAGGTAATTGCCATTCTATTTTCCGTCTCTGAATTTGACTACACTAGGTACCTCATGTGAATGGAATCACATAATATTTTTCCTTTTTTGTCTGGCTTATTTTACTTAACATAATGTCTACAAGGCTCATCCATGATGTGTCATACATCAGAATTTCATTCTTTTTAAAGGCCAAATAATATTCCATTGTACAGATATGCCCATCAGTTTCTCCATTAATCCACAGGTAGATGTTGGATTGCTCCTACATTTTGGCTTGATTTCCAGGAGCTCTTTTTGTGCTGAGGATATTAACTCTTTGCTGTGACATGATACACTTCCCCTGATTGTTACTAGTTTTCAAATTTTACTTACGGTGTTGTCAATGGAGAGGTTTTTTGATATTTAAGTAGCAGATGTATTAAATCACTTATTTTATGGATTCAGGACTTCGAGTCTTGGTAGTAAAGAGCTTCTTCATTATTCCAAGGAGGTATAACTTTTAAAGAAAAGCCAGATATCTAAATTTTTCTTTGAAATTTTTCAATTTTAAAATATTGATTGATTTTTTTTAAAGAGAGCCCTGCACCATGGGGCGTCTTCAGCCTAAAGGCCTGGTGTTTGTAGTCTCTGTGCTAAAGTTGTGTCATGGTGTTGGGACCGAATTAGGATGCCCTTGGAGCACCATTCTTTTAAGCCCAGGCTAGCAGATCCACCTCTTCTGCTACCCTAGCCAGGGTGAGTCCTTTTACCCTCCATAAAGGTGCACAGAACTTCAGGTAAAGGCAAGGATAGGACCAGCAATGAATGGGGTGGAATTCTATAAGTCCAGGGTAGGAAAAGAAACAGAAACTCCTGCATCACTCTCTTTCTCTGATGTCTCATATCAGTTCTCTTGACAATCCCTGCCCAGCAGTCATCCTACTTAATGACAAAGACCCATAACTTTCTGAGAAGACTGGCTTAGTCTTTGGCTGGTGCTAGTTTAACAAGAGAATGCTGATTTCCCCTTACTGAGCCCAAATCTACCTCCTCTATGACCGCAACCCACTAGTCCTGATTTCACTCTGGGACGTCACAGCAGAGCACGTGCAGTACGTGCAGGCAAGCTGTGTTATCAGCTGCCTGGGGGGGGGGGGGTTCCCAGACCGCTCCTTCTTGCACCAGCCTCCTGAGCCCTTCTTTCTGCCAAGCCCATGTTCTCTTGCTCCCACCCCATGCTGCCTTCATGGAAGATGGACATCTTGTTCCTAGCTCATCACTGTACCTGACACACAATAAGTGCTCAATAAATATTTACTCAATGAATGGATGAATTAGTGGACTCAGCCAAGTTGTCCAACTTGGTGCCTCTTCTCCCAATTACCTTCTCCATGTCAGCCCAGTGATCCAGCACATCACTAGCAAAGTTAAATTTGGGAGGAACTTCCTGGTAGCCCCACTGCAGGGATGCCAGTTGCCTTGTATGAACGTGGACAGTACGTTTGGGTATCCGACTCCCCCATAAGATGCAAAGCCTCTGGAATTTCTGCAGCCAAAGCATGTTTGAACCTGCAAAGGAAAGAAAACACACAGGTGAGTCTTTCCCGTAGAGTCATCAGTTGCTTGAGGAGATTCATCCCAACCTTACAGGGTTCTTCCAGAAATTAATCTGTTTTGGTTATCAGTGAATTGGCAGTCAGCACCCATTCTATCTCAGTCTCCTTCCGATATGCCATTCTCCAAAAGCACCACATCGACTTCATGTCCTCCTTCTCCAGTACTTCTGACAGTTTTGTGAACACCCAATTCTTACGTGATAAATCCTTTTGTGCTTAAAACACAGTGGTGTGGTAGATTTAGTTATTTTTCCCAACAACTTGCCCCCTCCCTGTAGAATTATATGTATGTCCCCATTCATTTCCACATGACTTACCCAGTGCATTCTGGAGAAAAGAATCTCCATTGACATTAGATTGCCCATAGAATATGCTTTGGTCAGTGAAATGTGAGTGGATGTGATTGTGTGGTTGTGTGGTCAGGGACTGCCCTCTGCCATGAGAGTAGCATATCCCAGATGGTCCTACCCCCAGCATGGATCTCAGACTGTGGAGCTGAGCTGAGCCCAGCACAGCCACAGATAAATCACCCCGAGACCCATGGGGGAAATATGTACGTTTATGAGCTCCTGAGATGTTCAGGAGGTTTGTAATTATCACAGTAAATGTTACTTACTACAAGTAACATATATTTCCTTCAACGGATCCTTGACTGAGCTATCTTGAATACTGTACACTTAGCACGGAGGACCCAACACACAGACTCATTTTAGCAATTATAGTTGTTATGATTATTTCTACCTTCACATTGGTTCTAGGGAAAGTAGTTGGAAGGCTGCCGGTCTCTGAATTTCAACATGTGCTCTTTGATGGGAGGTTGCAGAATTTGTCTAATGACCTTTGATTCAAAGACTCCAGTCATGGAGTCCCACCGAATGGCTAGAGTCCTTTCCCTGTTTTCTAGGTAACAGCAGTTAGAACACGCAAGTCCCAGACGCTGGTGCCTCCTCTCCTACTTCCTAAAAAAACAAGGAGTGAAGATTTCCTTACCAGCTCCTTGGCAGGAATATTTACTGTCTTTGCACCTGCTGGTCCCTCTCTCTTTCCATACCACGTTTTTCTCATTCTTCTGGCCTCTCCTCCTCTGATAGGCCTGCTTCCCTGACCACCACTCAACTCCCGATCCCACTCTGACCGCCCTTCTCCCAGCTTCCCCGTTCCCTCCCTTTTGCTGTGCTAAAGCCACCTTTTCCTTTGCCCACCACTGCCTCCTCATGTTCTCAGCCCCTGGAGATTGCAGATGGCTTCTCTCCCCCAGAGGTTTTCACTCTCCTTCTTGGCCCTGACTTCTAAAGACTGGTTAGTGCCATCCTGAGGCATGACCCATCCGTCCATCCCTCACAACATGCTCACCTGCCAAGTCCTTTCAGAAGGTCTCTTTGGAGAGCCCTCTGTGTACTTCCTCCTGAGCAGACAGCTCAGAAGTCCCTGCAGCCTTGGAAGAGGGCACAGCTAATCATTAACTGTGGGCAGACTTGGCACCTAACTTGACGGAAGGTCAACCCTCCTGGCTGTGCTCATGGATTGCACAGCCCCACAGCCTTGGGGCCAGAAGGAACTGTTCTTCCAACCTGGTGGCCCAAAGGAGAGTCATGCACAAGATTGACGGCAAGTTCGTGCTCCAACCAGGAAGGGAGAAGCTGAGCTCACATAAGCCTGATTTTCCTCTTATTCTCCGTTTCCCCTCTTACTCTCAGTCTTTTGATGATTCCTTCTCATCTCCTTTATTCACCCTCCATATGTGATCTCATCCAGTATCATAGCTTGAACCCCAGCTGCCTTGCCAATGATTCCCCATATGTGTGTCTCCAGCCTGGATCTCTCTCCTGCATCCTAGTCGACTTGACTTCTCCCCTTGGACATCTAACAGGCATGTCAGATATGCTCCGTCCAGAGCTGAGCACCTGCTATTCTCCCTGCAAATCATCTCACTCCTCCTGCCACCTTGTCCGTGTCAGTGATTGTTAGTCCTTATGCAGCTCTGTTTGAGTCAAAGGGTCAGAAACACAAAGACCTTTCCAGATCACTGAGTGGATAATATCAGAATTCAGAGCAGAACAGTAACTTGCTTGAGGTCACGCAGGAAATTGGTCTCAGGCCCAGGCCTAGAAACCTAGCCTCCAGAAGTGTGGCTCATGACCATATGGCTGACTTACAAAGCACCCTCGGGCCCCAAAACTAGAGCTGGAAATCAGAGGGCGCTGAGCTGCTGAGACAGAATGTTTCCCAGAACGCTCACCAAAGGGGAAAGTGCCACAGGCCAGCTTGGATCCGGTGTTCTCCCAGATGGAGACAGTGATCCTGATGCCATGGAACTTCCCCACCTGCTCCTCTGCACCCCAAGTGCCCACTCTTAGAGAGTTATTCCTTAGATGTGCTGGCCATCAGACACCTGTCTGCTAACAAGGTCCCATGACAAGCAGGGATGGGGGCTCCCTTAACACAAATGTCTCTGCTGAAGGTCCACAGGTCAGGGGCATGATGAGAATGCCAGTCACCTGGCAATGAATAATCGCTGAGGGCACGAGTGACCAAGACCCACATCAGGGGACATCTAGGGTAGCCAGGAGGGCTTAAAGATCCCAGAAGCCAGGGTCCAATGTCTGGGGAGAGAAGAGAAGACATACACTTGGAGAGGATACCCAAAGCAATGTGCTTTTCTCTGTGCAACCCTAGAAACAATATGACTCGAAAAAACTTGTTTATGTGGAGCAGCAGCCATGTCCTGGGAAGAATTCCTTACTCTTTCTGGGAAAATTCACGGAATTCCACCACCTAGCCCCTCCAGGCCTGAATATATTGATCCTTTATTAAATGCCCGTGCAACAGGCATTTCTGAATGTCTCAGAATCACACAATCATGAGCCTCTTCCAGGAAGCTCTCCGCAGTGGCTGTCCCAAACCGCTCCTGCTGTGGCTGCTCTGTGCCCTCTGACTCCCTACCGACAGACAGGCTTCAGAGCACCAAGACCATGAGGCCAGCCGGACAAGTCCTTCCCTTCTTTCCCGTCACTCCCTTTATTTTGACCTATTTGCCACCAAGCATAGAACACCTGGGGTGGAGACCTAAATCCTGCAGAAGACACCCGAGTTGCTGTCCCTACTAAGGCTCTGTTAAAGGGCTTTAAGAAATAGCTGACTACGCTTGGGAAAGGGAGCTGATGCTTTCTGAAGGAATTTGGTGGCAAGACATAAGGATCTATTTTGAATCATTAAATAAAGCCAATTAGATCTTCAATTTTAGCCCCCGAATCTTGTTTCCTAACAAGATTCGTAAGATCTTGTTTTCCCGTTGGAAAGGTGGGAGGGGTGTTTGCAGGGCCTCCCGACGCCTGACAGGAAAAGGGGTGGAGATCCAGGGAGGGGTTGCTACGCAGCTGTCCCCTGCGCTTCAAACTCTTCATCTGATAAATGGAGATTATCATACTTTCTTCTTCGGGTCATAGTGTGAAACGGACGGGACCAATTTTCCCCAAAGTGGGTTTTGCTAGGTGATTTTAAATGAGAATTTTTCATGTTCAGGATTATTTTGATGTACATTAGAAAAAAAGTGATCAGAACTACAGAATCCTCTTTGAATGCATATTATATTGCGGAGGGTTTAGCTGTGTTCTTTAAAAGGTGAGCTGATTTACAGCGCAGACGGTATGTGGCTAGAACCATAATCACGATGGAAGGATGCGAATGAGTAAAGATTGAGTTGAGGAGTTCAGCAGAGCCTCTAGCACCATGCCTGGCATGGATACATGGCCAATAAAGTGACATCACTTGTCGTTGCTGTCGCTACCAATGACTTCTGGGTCTGGGTGTGCTGGTGGGGTGGTGGTGCCTGTGGTAAGGCAGCTGAGAGCTTTGCTTTTTCCTTTTTTGGAGTTGGGCTGGGCTGAGATGACTGTGGGAGAGTTTTTTGGAGAGTCTAAGTGAAGGGGGACTGGGTCTACCCCACCCTTTATTACCCTTGCCTTGTTCTTTTTTTTTTTAAATTGATGTATAGTCAGTTACCATGTGTCAGTCTCCGGTATACAGCATAAAGTCCTAGTCATGCATGCATATTCATATATTCATTTTCACATTATTTTTCAATAAAGGTTATTGTAAGATAATTGAATATAGTTCCCTGTGCTATACAGAAGAAATTTGTTTTTTTAATCTGTTTTTATATGTAGCGGCTAACATTTGCAAATATCAAACTCCCCAGTTTTTCCCTTCCCACCTCCTTTCCCCAATAACCATGATTGTTTACAACGTCTGCGAGTCTGTTCTTGTTTTGTAGGTAAGTTCATTAGTGTCCTCTTTTTTCCTTTTTTCCTTTTTCTTTTTCTTTTTCTTTAGATTTCACATATGAGTGACATCATATGGTATTTTTCTTTCTTTTTCTGGCTTACTTCACTTAGAATGTCGATCTCCAGGTCCATCTATGTTGCTGCAAATGGCCTTATTTTATTCTATTTTATCATTGAATAATAGTCTGTTGTATAAATATACCACATCTTCTTTATCCAGTCATCTGTCAATGGACATTTAGGTTGCTTTCATGTCTTGGCTACTGTATATAGTGCTGCTATGTACATTGGGGTGCATGCATCTTTTCGAATTAGCATTATCTCTGGATATATGCCCAGGAGTGGGATTGCTGGATCATAGAGTAAGTTTATTTT